AAGACTCAAACGGATTAAAGAGCACAGCTCACAGTGGACATGTGCACACATACGACACTTATTTTCCTTAGCATCATGATATGTATCAGATATCATATCTGAACAGTGTGTGTGGCTGTAAGGTGCTGTCTGTTCTATAGCCAGACTCTCACTAACGTGGAGACACCTCGTACCTAGGTCAAGAGGGTGGCAGAGTTCTTCTAGCATTTCTATTTATCCTTGCACGGGAGGGATTCCACCAACAGTCACACAAAGCAAGGAAGTAGGAATTAGAAAAAGCGAACCATCTCTGGACTCAAGCCACAGCCAAGAGGCTCTGAAGCAGCGGTTCTCAAGTCTTCCTCACGCTGAGGCCCTTTAATACAGTTCCTCATGTTGTGGTGACCCCAGCCACGAAATTATTTGGCTACTGTTATGAAGGATAATGCAAATGTCTGATAGGCACAATATTTGATATATGAGCCCTGTGAAAAGGTCGGAACAGGTCCAAAAGGGTTGGGACCCACAGCTATAACCCAAGCTCTTAGGAAGCTGAGGCAGCAAGTTCAGGGCTGGGCTACCGCCAGATCAAGGTCAGCCTGGGCCACGCTGTGAGGCACTGTCTCAAAAGGGAAGTCTCACAATTAAGTGGATTGGGGAGGTCGTGCAATGGGTCAGAGGACAGGGGTTTGCCAGAGCTACCTACCCAGGTTTAACCCTTCACAGCTGTCCTGATAGGTGTGTGCACACTAATCCTCTCATACCACACACACATTATGAAAATGTGTGTAACATAGATATAGAATGGTATAATGATGTCTGGTTCTAGGGCTAGGGTTAATTAGGTACAAGTTAAGCCTCAAAACTCTTGGCAAGTGGAGGAATTAGAGCTAAGCTCACAAATGGGGATCACTAGGTACTCACAGGACACCAGGTCACCTATGGATCAAGTCTGAGAAAACCAGGACATCAAGATAAAGACCGATTACCAGTGCAATTGTGGGATGGCACTGGCAATCAGTAACTGTGGAGACACCCTTCCTTACAGCAACCAACGTGAAGATTTGTGAAACTGGGAAAATCACCCAATAGCTGACTCAAACAAGAATCAAGTGCTGGTGTTCTGTTGGGAGGCTTTGAGGGATAGTGAGAGCTTGATAATTTTGCATTTTTCCCCCCAGTCTCTTCACAATCTGATGGGGGTAAGGGTCAATTTAATAAAACCAGCTGCTTATTGGTCAACAGGCAATAATCAGTATGGAGGTAGTCTGGCCCTAGCTGTGGCACTTAGCTGAGGACACAGCCACTGTATAGATTGTGAGTGTATTACCTGAAATCTAATTTTAAGGATGTTACAATGAACACAAATTTAAGAACAGTTATAAAATAATGTCAATTGCTAGGTAGTGGTGGTGCACGCCTTTAGTCCTCGGGAGGCAGAGGCAGGCGGATCTCTGTGAGTTCGAGACCAGTCTGGTCTACAAGAGCTAGTTCCAGGACACCTTCCAAAGCCACAGAAAAACCCTGTCTTGAACCCTCCTCCCCCCAAAAAAAGAAAATTTTCAAAAAGTGTAGGTTTAAGTTCACAAACCAATAGGCTACATTTTGCAACATTCAACTTTATAATCCATTAAGAGCCCACATTTTAGGCCTGATTTTGCAGACATTTTGAAATCATTTCTGCTTTCTCTCGAAATCAATATGAAAACACTAATTGTCCTAAAGTAATCAATGTTACATTGTCCCAGGAGTTCTGGACCTTCTCTCAGTGCAATAAATCAAGCTGCAGCCTGCTAGCAGTCACAGCAGCGATTGTCACTCTGCCTTCTTTACTGTGATTCTTGTCCAGTCAGGAGCATGTGTTCCTTACAGCCAGGAACTGAAGCCCAAGGTTCTCCCCATGAGGCACGGACAAACTCTGATATGTGGTCTCAGCATAGCAACAAAAAGCACAACTTCCGTACATGACACGGACAAGGCATAGACACACCAGTCCACAAGGGCCAGGCGCACACATCTGTGAGCTCGTTTAAAGTTCAGGATGTAGAAGTTACTTGTGTTTTCATTTGGGGTGTGTGTGTGTGTGGGGGGACACGCACTAGAAAGTTTCTATAGATGATTATGCAGTATAAACACTGGGCATGGACACTCCTGTGTGGTGCTACACGCCTGTAATCCCACCACTCTGGAAGACAAAACAGGTGATCCTGAGATTGAGGCCAGCTTGGTCTATGCCACAATCCAGAGCTACAATAATACCGCCTCAAGCATATATAGATGTACTCTGCTTTTTATATTCAACAGTACACTGATTAAAAAATTATACAAAAGGAAGTAAATGTAGGTATAGTCCAATCAAAAGACCACTACAGCGCAGCTTCCGATTGGCCCCGTGGGTCCTCATACCAAACACTGACCAATCAGCCAAGTGTTGATTCCAGTCTCCCCTTTTTGCCAATTTCTTCTCGGCATTTTATCTCATGTATTTCTAAAGCCTGTTCAGAAGCTCAAAAGAAAAAAAAAAAAAAAAAAAAAAAAAAAAAAAAAAAAAAAAAAACAGGTCAAAGGACTATGTGGCATTTCCAGTTGGTCCAGACTCAAGAGGAAACATTTTGAGTTGACTTCTGTCACACCTAGATGGAGACCCATTCTTCTAAGACTTGTCCATCTCTCTTAACTGCCTCAAAATGTTCACTGGAAAGAAAGCATGCTTCAGCCACTACGTACTTTGATAAACTTTCAAATGTGCTATTTGTCTCCTTTTTTCTTAAAGCCTCTAAACACAGTAGTCATGAAAACAGTCCCAAAGGGTGTTTTATAAATTTAAGAGTAGAATGTGGGGGTGCACACCTTTAATCCCAGCACTTGGGGAGGCAGAGCCTGGTGTACATGGTGACGATGAGTTCCAGGACAGCCAAGGTGTGGAGAGCCAGGTTCTGTGACGAGGAACACAGAAAGGTGGAGTGCAGTTCTGCCGTGTGCCTACTGTGCACGAGGCCGGAGTTTACTACCTGGCCAAGTTAAGTTTAAATTTTAAACAAAAAAACCAATTAGCTTACCTGATATAGCTAGTCAATAACTAGTTATTTCCAAGTCACTATCAATTCTGAACAGGCAAAACTGTGACAACTGGTGAGTAAGTCTTCAAGGACTTCTTTACCGTGTACAGAACTTATAACCAACGTCACTGTAACTCATGCCATTCCCATGCAGGAACAGCTTACTCACCCATTTCTCTGACGGGCACATCACACTCGTATTGCTTGTGAAGAGGCTCACAAGGCAGGAGAAGTGGCTTAGTGGTAAAGAGGATTTAGTACTCTCTCTTGCAGAGGGCCTAGTACTCATGGTAGCTCACAGCTGTCTGTTCTAAGGGACCTCAGGCCTTCCAGGCTCCATGGGTACCAAGCACACAGACAGTAAACACATCAACACTTCCTACACATAAAATAAGACAAAAAACCTCATCTGCACTGTAGGGCCCTAAACAAATCCTCTAAGGAACATACATGTTTATAGCGTAAACATGTTGAAGCATGACTTCAAGCTATACACCACCTATGTACTTAGGTAAATGAAGCCCTGATTCTGCACTTGCCATCAGCTACCTTACACACCCTGATTTTCATTTAAATAAGCAAATCTGAGGCAGGCAGTGGTGGGGTGCGTCTTTAAAACCAGCACTCAGGAGGCAATGGCAGAGAAACCCTGTCTCAAAAGAACAAAAAGCAGAATAAGCAGATCTGCACCTCATGTAGTATAAACATCATTATGAACACAATCTATTTTCTTACTCCATGAGAAACTGACTACCCAAAATAGAACATCTCACTAAAACATTTAACTTCATTACAAACTTTGTCAAACTAGAACCTTCTGCAAAACCTGACACTTTCTGTACTAAAATTCTGAGACAGACATGCATATTTCTCTGCTGTCCCTATACACCTCCAAAACTAAGTCAGGTGACATTGCATAATTAATCCCAGGCCAAACAAACCATATGGGATTCCAGCACTTGGGAGGCTCTCAGTGGACTCAGGGCTGAGGCCAGCCTGGTTTAC